TTCTTCACAGCTCCACCCACAAAACCTCACTGGATGATCCCTCAGTTATTTCATCTCTGACTACTGCTGTGATACTCCCCTCAATCAAAAATGCAACTCCCCCTCCCCTCTTTCCTGCACCTCTGTCCCGCCTAAAGCACCTCTACCCTGGCACATTAAGCTGCCAGTCCTGTCCCTCCCTTAGCCATGTCTTTGTAATATGCCAGTCCCATGTACCTATCCAAGCCCTGAGCTCATTGGCCTTACCTGTCAGGCCTCTTGCATTGAAATAGATGCAATTTAACCCAACTGGCTTTCCTCGCTCCCTGTCATGTTCCAGCCTGTCTCTTCAGCTTGCTATTTCTGATTACTTATCTCCTTCCACCTCACACTTGCCTTCCTGCCGTTGAGGATCGCAGCCCCCTGCAAATCTAGTTTAGAAGTTGAGTTAATCACTCTCTTGCTGGTACTGTGAATATAAACTCATTATTTTTGATGGCTTCTGATGATGTGCTCGTGAATAGAAATTCCCTGCTTTTTCAAGGATTCTATTACTAATGTGAGTTCACCCACCAATATGAGCATACCTAGACTGTGAAGTAATAATGCCTCCTAGTTGTCCCATCAATATTAATGCATGAGTTTCTAAAGCAATAGCACAAAGGCAACTCTATTGCTTCTTGTAGCTACACTGTTAAAGCAAAGCTAATGTTTTAGGTGAATGAAAACAAGCTACAATCCTCATGATTGTCTTATGACCATAAAGCACCCAACAGTGTAACTCAGCCTGGCTGAAGATTGTAATTATGCCAACATGGAGAAGAATCTCCTTTCTAAGGAAAGGAGAACTTGAGGGGTTACTAATGATTCTAAATGTGAGGATATCCTATATTTTTACATCACTTCTATTTTAATCGAGACAGGAATATGGATAATGTGGAAAGGATTTGTTTAAATTAAGAACCATGGAGGAGATGTTGACCTAGTGGTATAATCACTAGACTATTGATCTAGAGACCCAGATAATGTTCTGGGACCTGCGTTCGAATCTGGCCTTGCTAGCTGGTGAAATTTGAATCCAATAAATATCTGGAATTAGGAGTCTAATGATGACCCTAAAAGAAACATGTAGTTCATTAATGCCCTTGTCTAATTAGGGAAGGAAACTGCATTCCATACCTAGTCTGGCCTACCTGTGACTCCAGGCCCACTGTAATGTGGTTGACTCCTAACTGACTTCTGGGCAATTAGGGATGGACAATAAATGCTGGTCTAGCCACGGACAACCACATCCCGTGAATGAATAAAACAAAAAAACTTTAATTGTTGACAGCAGTGCTCAAAACTGATAAGAAGCATATAAGAGTTAATACTCTAGTGTGAAAGGGCATGGATGAGGCCTTTCATCCTCTGTTGGTCTAACTATTTGAAACTAACAGTTAGTTTCATTAATCAGGGAGAGAACCATAAATCAAAACAGTTCTATGACAGGTGTCATTTCTAATTTCAAGACAAGAGAGAGGAAAGAAAGAAGGAATGAAACTGTGTAAAACTTAGCAAAGCTTTCTAATGATTGCTCGTTAATCTCCACACAATAAGTTTTGGATGTGCATTTTTTTTCTGTTTAGTTTGGGTATGTACAAAGGATATTTTGTTGCTTAGGGTGTTTAGGATGACATGATTAATCAAATACTTTACTGCCTTGAGTTATAGGATTTGTTAAAGGTATAAAGAGTATAAAGGTATAACTGACACTGTGTCTTTATACTTAGGGTCAGATGTGGACAAGGATTGGTTAACCTGCTAAGTTTAAACCAGGACTGTATTTATATCACTAAACATCTTGGTGCAGACCAACTGTGTTAGCATTCCTGCAAATCCGTTCAGTTATCAGACCCTCCTGGTGCCTCAAATGCATGTAAAAATAGTCTTGGACAAGTAAGAGATAACTTTGGTTTGTTTGGATAGAGTCAAACTCCTATGTTTGCTTGTTTCCTTGATATGCTACCATACAGAACCGAACTGTGTTTGTGACTAGAAAATATTTTTTTGATTAAAGCATATTTTTGAAATTAGAAAAAGCATTCCTGCAAGACAGGGTGTGAGTGTCACCATGTGTCTGCATTCTCTTGTAAATTATGTGAGCCTGTCTATTAGTTCAGAACTGACCAAACACTCATACGTTAATCTACTTCTGGAAAGAAATCAAAAGATAAAAGTAAAAGGAAGAAATAAATCAATTGACACCTTTGATAAACTCAAGGCTTCCCAAAGTGCTTTGTAGCCTGTTCTGAACTGTACTTCTGAAGTGCAGTCACTGTTGTAATGCAATCAATGCGGTAGCTCATACGTGTGCTCTCATCCATAACTCCTCAGTGTGGGGCTTGGAGAGTAAACAAGATGGAATTTAATGCATCTCTTCAGCTATTAAGCTCTACATTACAATAAAGACTGTTGGGAGGACCAAGCCTTATCTGTCTCCCATGTCTGGCCGACAGTGCTTACTGCACGCAGTTGTATATTAACCCTTTCAGATCCTTCCAGACCCATGTACAACAGCAGTCAGTTTTGTGTACAGCGAATTCCCACAGACAGCACTGAAATCAATGGTGTGTTTTAGTTTGAGAGTTAGGATTAGGTTTATTATCACGTGTACTCAAGTTACAAAAGAACAGGAGTACAGTGAAAAGTGTACAATGTCGCAAACATGGCAGCATCTTAGATACAAAGAATCTAGGTACAAATCTTGGATACAAAAAATAGGGGAAATAAAGAAAGATGTGATACTACATTACAGATGTACAGAGTATAAGTTAGGAAACTAAGAAGTGAAGCCAGAAAAACAGACATTACAGCCTTTTTATAAGGCCTTTCATGTGGTCTGACTGAGCTCCACCAGTTTCCAACCAGTAGCAATCTTTGCTCTGGGCCGCTCTTCATGTTCACTCTGCTCCGGGCCCACTGACCGCTCCGGGCCCTCTGACCGCTTTCCCTGCTCCGGGCCCACTGACCGCTCCGGGCCGTCTAACCGCTTTCCCTGCTCCGGACCCACTGACCGCCGTCGCTGCTCCGGGCCCACTGACCGCTCTCCCTGCTCCGGGCCCATAGACCGCTGTCCCTGCTCCGGGCCCACTGACCGCTCTCCCTGCTCTGGGCCCACAGACCGCTTCCCCTGCTCCGGACCCACTGACCACTGGCCCTGCTCCGGGCCCACTGACCGCTGTCTCTGCTCCGGGCCCACTGACTGCTGTCCCTGCTCCGGGCCCACTGACTGCTGTCCCTGCTCCTGGCCCACTGACCGCTGTCCATGTCCACTCTGCTCCGGGCCCACTGACCACTCTCCCTGCTCCGGGCCCACTGACCGCTGTCCCTGCTCTGGCCC